TTCAAGCCAAGTTTTTTAGCTGCGTTATAAATAAGCTAAGTCGCAGGGAGAAAAAGAGGTAGTCGGTAGTATTTACAAATTTATGTACGGTGTGATGTAGTATAATAATATTTTACTTAAAATTACTTTCTATTACTTTAATAACAAATGTTCATTTCTAATAATCCATGACATAGTGTAAAAGTAAATTGAAAATCAAAATTATACTTTTTATACACCTTTTACAAAATATCATTCCTTTCTCAATATTAGTAAATAATAACGAAAAGTTTTCTTTACCTCGAAAATCAGCATAACGAACATGTATATTTTAAATGTACAATCGTATTTCATTTTTTTCTAACAAAGATGATACTTAATCAACAATTTATTATAGTTGATAGTTGCAAATATCTATGGCCTCCTTTTACTTGCTCCTATGTCATCATCAATAAATAATGAATGAGGACCAAAAACTTGATATTTTGGAGCAGGACTATTTATTTAGATGATTATCTATACAAAATCTATATTTCGCCATCATACTGACAGCCTCTTCAGGATTTAACAATATACATGTGTCGAGACAACACATCGAAAGGACACTTATGGCACCAAGAGATTCATCTACGTTTCGCAGTACATTGTCACAAAGTATTATGCTGCAGTACGTAGGTAAATCTCTAGATGCCATGAGTGTCCTTTCGACGTATTGTCTTGGCACCTGCATGTTGTTAAATCATGAAGAGGCTGTTAGTATGATGAAGAAATATTGACTTTGTATGGATAATTACTTGAATAAACAGTCATGCTCTAAACACTAATTTTTTATTACTCATTTATTGATAATTTAACCACAATTTTTTTTGTTTTAAATACATCTTGATCAAAATATGGTGTATGTTATTGTGAGAAAAATAAACAGCACCTTTGAAACGTTTTTATTTAGAGCATGCATATAACGTTCAAAAATAATTTAGTGACAATATGACCTTCCGAAAAAAATGTTATACCACAAAGCAACAACTAAGCAAAAAGTATAGGACTTTTCCGATTTTTGAAAGAAGTAAAATTTATCGAAATGCAAGAATAAAAAAATTTTTTTAATTTTCAAACAATTTTTTTTTTTTATATATTTTGATAACCTTTGGATGTAAAATCTCCAGAAAAAGATTGTATATTAAAAATAATTGTTTTGAAGTTCGCAGATGATTTCGAAAAGATTGCATGGCAGCATGATTTTCAAAAAAGAGGAAAAAATTCTGTAATTCGAAAGAAACACAAAACGCAACCAAACATAAGAATTTAGACTAATATTTTTAAGAAAAAAATAATGTCTATTACGCTTATAAAGCAGCGAAATCAAAAAATTTGTTTCTTTCTATTTTAAAATGTGTTTTATAATTCGTTCTTTAATATAGAAGATACAATTTTTATAAAACTAGTTTCCAAACATTTTGAAAAAGTTAATCCTTCGAAACGTATGTATGCAAGGACACGTTCAATACCCTCATTACTGTTTTTTTTTACATCCATACTATTACCTCCTACGTGTATATTTTGAGTCCATTACAACATCTATCAATTTTTTTAGTAGTCTTACTAATACATAAAGAAAAATCACTAAAACTGTTGTAATTTCTAACCACGAAAACTACTCAACCGATCTTTACACACTTCCTAGATGATTTTAGTATAGTTTTCATTTTGAAAAAATAAATAACAGTAGCAAATAAATAAGCTCAAAGTTTTGTACAAATATGCTAGCTTTTCACTTTAGTTCGGTAGGATCCACTAGGTGGCAAAAAAGTAAAATCGGAGATCTCTGCAATAAAATTAAGTAAGTATGGTTGTAATATCTCCGCAAAAACTACCCGGCAGTGCATGAAGCATAGAGCTGAGAGTCGTGCAGCTGGGTATTCAGGCTACCGACAAGATTGTGCTCTAATGGACGAGCGACTTACGTTGATTGACCTCTATCCTGAACCACAAAGATAGACGAATGCCACCAATAAACTGGTGTTCTACATGCTAACGTCTCCGATAAAATCTCAGGAGACGTGTCTAGCCAGAACACAATCTGCTCTAGCGTTATAGGGTTTCATGGTCATTGTTCTAACCATCCTAAGGCTACCAGAGCAGATTTTGCTACAACACCAAGCCAGGGAAAACAACCCTGACGAGTTCAAGCAGCAAATCAGCTGGAAAGTTTATCAGTCCCCTCCTTAGTGGTTCGTCTCAATAGCAATACCCACAGAGAAGAACTTCTTCGGGCCCACTTTCCTGACTAATGATGAGCGGTTGGATATCTGGGGACCGACCCAAAGACGAGATATTCATTGGCCAGCAGCTTGCCTTCCTCCAGCATGGTCTCCATATACAGAGGCTCCGAGGTTAAGAGTCAAGCTACCCATAGCCAGCTCTCCATTATCAAGAGTAATAACAAGGAATAGCTGAAAGTTTCACCACTGGCCCTTTTCAGGGCCATTATAAGTATTTATGTTTCCTAATTAACCATCAATCTCATGGGTTCTTCAAGGGCCACCTAAGCTTAAACTACCCTACCAACAAATTTATTTTTAATAGCATTCCCGGCAACGATTCGTCGACTAAAAAACTTTATAAAGGGGGCCATTATAACACCAAGTCAGTCATTCACTAGCAGACGTCACGAATGAAGTTGTTCATCGCAAGGCTGGGAACTCTGGTGACCGACGATCCTATATTACCCTCTTGACTCTAATCATTCAACCAGGAACCACTGATCCTCTTCAAGGTCTCCGTTGGGCGAACCTAACAGTTATGAAAGAAAAATAAACTTTAGCAAACGAGGCAGTCTCCAACGGGCAAGAATCACGAATCAATCTCTTTACCTTGGATTACTAAATCAACTGAGCTCTACAAAGAAGATTGATGTTTAAATATTGACGTTTTTGGCGTAAAACCACGAGACTTTGGGAAAGAGCTCTACAACTAGCTCTAACGCTTCAGACGTTTTACTTTTCCTCCTGATCAGTCTAGTGTTACAATAACAGGCCAGAAAAGATTACCCTGAGCTATTGAGGCAATCACGTTTGCTGGTAACTTCAGTCAAGAGTTTGCTTAAGAAGCTCACTGGTACTTTTTAGGGCCATCGTTCGTCGAACTATCTCACCAATAAATAAATTGGAACTTAACTAAGTTGACAAAAAACAGCTTTTAGGGCTCACAAAAGTCATAAACATGCCAAAAGTTGCTAGAGGGCGAATCGGAAGGAAAACTTCAAATACATCTAATGTATACAATTGTAGGCATGAAGAAACTGATGCAGAGCATTCATCGAGATTAAAGCAGCAGCATCAAAATCGACAAATAAAGAATTTATTAAGTGAGAGATCAGCTTTTCATTACAACCCTTGTAGTAATCTCTTAAATCTTCCAGATTCAAAAATGGGTATAATATGTATTTGTATTGTTGTGGCGATATTAAGTGTAGAAATTAAGCTCTGAGACTTTGTTGCTCTGCTGATAAAGTTGTGAGATTAGAAAAATAAATGTTTAATTACATATTTTTTATAAGTTTTAAATCTTTGCAGCTTTAACAAATAACCCTTCTTGTAGATTATAAGGGAGAAACACATATCAACGGCTCTTAAGGCCAACGATTATTTTATGGTATAAGGAACGGATGGTTACTATGCTGACGGTACTTTTCAGCATAGTTATATTTTTTTCACTTTTTACAGCTTATTATTTGACCAAATAAACTGTATGGATTTTGAACAAAAATTTTTTTAATAAGAAGATTTTGGTTCTGAGAAGTGTCTGGAATAGATGTAAAATTTTCAACTGAAAACGTTTCACATTACATGTCAACACACTACGGTCTTCCATTTAGTGAGTCTTGGGACAACCTGAGACGGAGGGGCCGCTATTTTTTATAAATTAAAAAAAACTTGAATTTTAATGTAATCATCTATAGGTGTTACAATAAGGTACCGTTTAAATAAGTTTTACTTAAACGTATATGCTGCTATTACACCACTTATTTCTACAAGGCTTTATTATTATCCAAGCCATATGCATCACTATCATCCTACTTGATAGTTAAGCTATAACATTTTGGGCATTTAAAAACTTTGTATGATTAAACTTCTGAAAAGCGTACCTTACAATCTAAAGAATCATAACAAAATACACAGTATCAGATTTGGATATAACATACGTTACACTAAAATTCTTTAAGGTGGTTCATATAAAAATAGAAATACTATATTTTTTAAATTACAGTTAACATATTGATGTTAATTTGTTTATTTTCTTACTGTGAGATACGTATTTGGCGCTTGTCGCTGAATTTTAGTGTATCCACAGTAGCAAGGAGCTGAGATATTATGGCATGGCAGCGCTGTCCTGTAGCATCATAGATGTATACGGTCAATGTCCTAATTAGCGCTCAACAAAGCAGACAAAATATTCCAAATATCGCCTAATAAATTTTCATTTTTTTTATAAAAGTTAGTTTCATGATTGCTTAATCAATATGATCTTTTGATGAACATTAAGTGAACTAATATATTTTTCCTTTAAATGTGATCAAATTCTTAATATTTGTATTCAAAAAAAGTCTAGCTGACCGGTAATTGAGACATTGACCGTAGTTTGATTCATTTGGTGCAGTTATTCATTCGATACGCAATCTCGCACTTGTACTCTCTGTCTGATTTTCACTTTTGCTTTATTAAATTTGTCTGTATTTAATGCTAAAGATAGCTAATAACTGTAAAGCCTTAACATAGTATAAATGAACATGTTTTATACTGAATAGTACAGAGACAGTGTTTTACTGTTTTCCGAATCCATACATCCATATCTGTACTGCTAACACTTATCTTCCGAATAGAATTTTTTTTACCAATTTCATTTTCAAATTTAGTGAAAACTGGTATTTTTTTTTCATTACAACTATGCATACGATTTTTTCTTGTATTTTAAATTAATAATTCACTCTCCAGAAAAATTCATGATCCTACAAAGTTTTAACATGTTTCCTTATATTACAACTAAGATTATAGCTCTTTATTTAACACTATTGTGATATTGAATATAAACTAAAAACATGAACATTAAAATATTATAAATCTTTTAATCATATCAACATTAGTATGCCATTAATAAACTTTCATGTAATAATGTTGTATGTACACAGAAATAAATATTCAACATTTATACAAATTATAGTCAGGACTATATTTTAGGATAGTTTCTATTCTTGAACGCTAGAAACCACTAAATAAATATGTGTATAGATATAGAAATTTTGTATGAAAGTTTTGAAAAATAAGATATTCCATCACTGTATATTTGGGACTTGTCCCCAATTGAAACCTCCAGGTCTGTCTTCTGGTAATGGAGTATAATCTGTACCACCAGTCTGAGAATTAAAAATAGCCTTCCTGCAAAAATTAAGTACATAAGTTTAAAATACTATCATTATGTTATAAAATACTACCATTTTATCATCACACTATTATGCGATAATAAAATACTTTCATTATGAATAAATGTTTTTATTATTTATTAATATTACCTACACATATATTTATGTACAAAGACTTTAACCCTATCCAATTCGTTTACATAAAATATAAAAAAGTCATAAATCTAAATATGATAGAATATCAAGTTTCAAACAAATATTAGATTTATATCCCTGTTTTGAAGCCTATCACTGTTTTCTTCACTATTTTTTTTTCGTTAAAATATACTCTGATAAAAAATCCAAGAAAATAAGCACAAAGTACAGAATCATGTATATTTTAACATGCCTAATTTTTAAAATTTATCATTTTCACTTTTATATACTAATTGCACCAATAAGTTTAGAGTAGTACTTTACAAAAACTAAAAAAAATTCCTGTGCAGAAGTTAACACGAGTTATAAGGACCTAAACGTATCAAATATAAATTAAGTACACATAACTTTTAATAAGTATTATTAACTTTATGAGGGTTGTTGAAATGAAACGTACTTTTAGTACAAATTCAGAAGCTTGCAATGATTTCCTTTTTTGTATTAAAGCGTTATTATGGAAAAAAGTTTTTTTAATATGTCTTTTCTAAAAATATCACTAGTGGAAAAATACTCGACAAAAATAAATTGCATTACATTCTACGAAATTTTTTTTGTGAAATACTATTTTAAAGATGATAAAATACTATATTCACTAATTTTTTTCAGAAACCTATTTTCTACTTACCAGTTACAGCGACGAATAAGGCATTTACTTTCTTAGGCATAACTCGCATTCTCTGCTTACTAGTTAGTAGTTAGGTATTATGGCGTAACACGCATGTAAATTGCATTCCGATCCATAGGTAAGGGTAACAATCATGCAGACTGTGGCAAAATGATTTTTTATGAGCAGAGAATAGAAGTTTATTTTATACAAGTAACACCAAATAACTAACTTAACAACAGTTTTTACGAGAAAAACTTATTTAATCTCTCATTTTTGAGACCTCTTTGAGACTTTTATTCTATTTTAAGCCAATGCTTCGCAGTGCACTATTGGTAAAATCAACCGCTTTTGCTAAATAGTTTTATTTTTTATTTTGCTGGACGTTATTGTATTTTTTATACCTTTTGTATCTATACATATGTAAATAGACTCTTGGTCATCTGTACATGTAGTTTTTGTGTAATAATAGAAGTCCTTGGAAGGTCTTAAATATGGGAGACGAAATATAGACCAACTTTTAATATAGAAGTTTTGCTAATAAATACTGTTGTGAAGTTAGATATTTGATGTTTCTTTTACAAAATTTAGTCTCGAAAAAATGAGAAAATCAACCAGGTTGGAGAATATTGTCAAATGTAAGTTTGTATGCAGGATAAATATGGCACTTTACTCCCTGAAATCAGGCGAGAAAAGTCATTTTTCAACACGTGTGATGGGAAAAATATCTATTTGCATAATGATACATGGTAACAAAATTAATAAGTTAGATGTTTGCACCCTTATCCATACGGTACAGAAGAGTGCGAAAGGTATAGAAGGGTCAGTAGGCATGTCTAGTGGCCCACTGCCTGAAGACAAAAAAAATACGATTTAATCTTATGTTTTTGATCGATGATAAATAATCAATCGGTCGGTCGACGTACAAAAAAATCTAGCACTCCGGGAGTGATGATAGAAGTGAAAACTCTAACAATAACATGGGCATTTTTGAATGGTGAGAAAATATTTTTTGTAGGCAATACTTTTGACGCGTTAGTGGGGTGGGTAGGGCTCTTAGAAGGAGCCGAATTAATAGCGCTATATAATAATAAAAAAAATAAAATAAATCATGAACATGTCGCGATTGAAATAAAATCCCTTTCTTATGCAGGATTGATATAATTAATCATCAACATGCCAGGCTCTCATTCTTTTTACCCACGCCTCTTTTTTGCTAGTCAGATATTATAAGCAAAAAAAAATTAATTTCAAGTAATTTTGTATAGGCGAGTTAGCACAGGCATGTGTGAAAGCAGTAGAGAGCTTATGTACTGTACATGTAAGTGCAGGGGAGTGAGTCTCTATTCAGCATGGGGGTAACACTACGGACGTCAAGCCACCTTGTGTATTTTTATGAATGTGCAAGAGTCATGGCTCGTAACATTGCACTGCCGAGAAACAAAATACGATCGGAAAGTGGCAGGACGGCCTGCAAGCTCACGAAAGGCTCTGATTTTTGCTGGCTCTCATCGAGAAAGGTGCAAACACTAGTTTAACATGCGACCACAATTTTTTTCTTTGTTGTAATAAAATCCAACTGATTAAATTGAAACGTTTGTTCTTTATTGCTATTTTTTTTTGTCATTTCGTCTAAAAATTTTTTATCCTTGGCATTAATAAACAATGTTTCAATTTAACTCAATTCTCTTTAATTTTGCTCATTAATGCGATGAATAATTATATTCATAAATTTATTTGCATTATGTATATACATTCGTATTTGAAAAATTTTATTAATCCGAAATATACAAAAACTATGTCAGTGATCATTTCAGTAGCTTAGAATAACAAACTGTTATTTTCGGCATATCATGCTTGCCCTTCAAAATATCGTGTTTTTAGAAAATTTTTTGAGCTCGTATTGTCAGGAAATAATTTAAAAGTAGATTCAAGATAAGTTTAAAAATTTTCTAGTTATGCTACAGTTTTTTTCTAATTTTTAACACTAATTTTTCTGATCTCTATTTTTGGTCATCTTTTTTTAAGTGTCGCGAGAAGACAATATTAAAACAACAGGTGTTATTAAGAACTTGAAGATCAGTTTATCGAAATTTTGATTTAATAAAATCATTGTATATAATGTCAGTAATAATTATAATTTTAAAACACTAATTATTATGAATTTTAACATTTTTCCACCAAAAATTTGATATTGAAACTTAAACAGTTTCCAATATCTCAATCAATTTTGTATGATTTCTTTCCTAACGAACGTCATTGCATTTGTCTTGGAAAAACTCGAATAAAAAAAAAAATTCTTCAGCTTACTCTGATGCCGAGATACAAGAATTTGTAGTAACGGACTGATAATTCAATTTTTCATTGCAAAAAAAAATTGTGTATTATAATCGTGTATTTGTGCATCACACTGCCAGGACAGTTTATCAATTTCATTGAAAGGCAAAATAAAAAAAATTAAGAAAGTCGCATTGTAACAGCCGAGGCAGCTCAGATCTCCCGTCTGTACCCTTCTTTCTTGCAAAAAGGTGGCTGACCGAATGCAGTAAGCATAGGGTAAAACACGGGCTGTGGATGCCGTTTGAATTTTAGTCAGTTAGTAAAGCTAGTCAAAATAGTTAGTTGTCATTATAATGTGCCAACAGAAGATTTTTTTTAACAATTTATGAAAAAATGCAAATTTTTTAGTAATTAAATAATACGTCCAATGACAGTTAGTGAATAATTTAAAACAACGTCCAATGTTAGGACTGTCAAATTTTCTATTTATTAAAAAATTTTAGATGTATATTTGGCGCTCGTAACTGAATTCTAATGCATGCGCAATAGCAAGAAGACGAGACGCCGTGACGCTGCATTTCAGCGTCTAATACCTATAGTTTACTCACTCTCGCGCGGTCAGTCGGTCGGTCGATACGCACTCCCTGCTTTTCGTATTTTTTTTTTGATTTGATCTTGCTTTATTTCAGTTCAGCTTACGATTGTATCCTTAATTGTAAATACTAAAGATAGCATACACTGAATATAGTGAGAATAAACGTGTCCGTGTTTTATAATAAAAACGACAGTGTTGTACAGTTTATTGCCCGATCACATACCCACACATCCATACTGTTAACAGGTTATGTGCCCAGCACGCGTGTAGTGTGGTTGTGTATTCAAGACCTCCACTAGCCGCCATTTTTTTCTCTGTGATCGAGCCCATCTCGCGTTTACTCGCATTCTTTTTGCCCTCCACGCTTTTTTGCGCCCCTTTTCTTACAGGCCATTGACGAGGTAGCGTAGAGATTGACATCAGCCACTAGTGAGACTGAGCAGATCGGGGAGGTGACAGCTAGCGGGGTGAGAAAGATTGTGAAAAATTTACAGAAGAAAAAATGAAAGTAACTGATAATGATACTTTTGATGTTTTTATCGGTCGGTATGTTGACATAATGTGTTTTATTTTTCGATGGCTCGAAACCAAAATTGTGTAAGAGTGGTAATAATATATGTTATAGATATGATAAATATGACAGTAAATAGGATTTGTGAAGCGTTTTATAAAGCTAGTACTCAGTAATTCTCAAAGTTCAAGAGTCGGCACGTGTTTTTCCTCGCGTGAGGCAGGCTTGCATTGGGGTACGAGGATTTTTATTAATCTGCTACAGCTATATCTACCACTGAGAAAGACGCCTCAAAGCGGCCAGAGGGACTTTCGTTTCGGCCATGACTTGTGTTCGGTCAGACCGGGCGTATGTATTCCTTTCAGTAGACTTGGTAGCTGATGGCGCGCACAGAGCAGCCATCTTAGATAGACTTGTTTACCTTTCCAAGTCCTCGTACAGTGCGGCCTCGATCCTCTGCGTGGATTTTCACGCTCAGACTAGAGGTAAATGCCGACTCAAACCGAAATGCAGAGATTTAGAATTTCTAATTTTGGTGTAATACACGTTAGCACATCGTAATAACAGGCATACGATTGTGCTCGATCGCAATGGAATTGTGCTGCTACTGTGTATGACTATAGACATGTTATGTTTGCATGTTTAAGTCATCTGATGTATCTCGTCCCATAAGTAGTGCGCATGCATTGAGCTCGTGTGTGCGTGCTTACTCATGTTTCCCGGTGACACAAATGAGATTAAAATGGTCACTGGGAAGTCATACATATAACTTGATCTGAGTTATTATAGGAGATATAAGTGACGATTACGATACAGGAGATATGTTTAACT